AAAATTCCATTCCATCTTCCCTCTACCTCCAGCCCTGCAGACTGAAAAAGACCTGGTCCCTCATGTGCGTACCGTGTCTGTGTGTCTAGAGTGTGGCCACATCTTTATCTCACAGGAACCTCCAGGAGACTTTGAGAGACATAAGCACTACCATTCTCCCTGCTCTGGAGGCTAAGGACCAGCGAAAGTCCAGAATGGAAGGACCACGTGGTGGCTCAAAGGAGCAGCAGCCTGCTTTCTTAGCTGCTCTCAAGGGCCGATTCTTCTTTCTGTCCCAGATACAGTCAAAGAAGGTTCTCCAGCCTGTGGGCTCCATGCCTTTCTCTAGACCCTTTTACTGGGGAGACTTTCCTCTAGGACCCCTTCATCTCAGTCTGGTCTGATAGTCTGCTCGGTTGCCCTCTGGGATGCTTAGGCTACAGTAAGGATGGGCTACACAGACAGTAGGTAGGGTACCATCATTGCACAGCAGGCTAGAAGTTTTGTACACATGAACTAAGTAAATGTGCACAGTAGCTCCTCACAGGAGTGGCTCTGAGTACCTCCAGTCTATACATGAGAAAATTCAGACTTTAAGAACACCAGCCTAACGCCCGTTTCACACACTTGTGATGGAGCCAGGATTCAGACCCAGGCAGACCTGGCACCTCACCTCATTCTGTGTCTCAGCAAACAACCGTGGATTCCAGTCTGAATCTTTGCTCTTTACTTATTCAGCATAGATGCACCAACTAATGCTGCATGCCAAACATTGTTCTGATTGATGGGACAGATGCCAGGGAACAAGAAACCCTGGGCAGGGCTTGGCAGTGGGGGCTGGCAGCACCCGGTGTGCTACACGTGTGTCACAGGCAGGCCAAATGGTGTTCTCCCTTCCTAGTGCCCCAACAGCTCAGGGCTGCCACGTCTACTTGGTTATCCCAGAGTAAGCACACAAATGCCCTATCTATAGCCTATATATATATCAAGACAAACCCTAGTGAACCCCAACTCTCCAAACTATTCTGCACTTCTGTTTTTTACTCCTGTTTGGCAAAGTGACAGAGCCCTCCTGATAAGCCTGTGAGACAGCATATTACCAGAGCCACAGATTCCTGGCTTTCTCCAAGGTGCAGCTTAACACTGACTGTAGTGAGCCCTGTTCATTGTCAACTGTCTTCAGTTACAGTTCCTGTGTGACCCTCCCACACAGCCCCAGAGCTTTGGCCCTCACTTTGCAGCTCCCTCCCTCAGGTCTTCAGGCAAATGCCTAACCTAGACATGCTGTTTTAGAGGAGGCTCTACTCTCCCAGCATTCCTCTCCTTTCCCAGCATCCTTCTGTCCTTCTCACTGTAGCACCTACACACTTTACTTGGAGATCAGGGAGCTTTATCTTGTCTCTGTCCCAGACTTGGAAAATTGCACCCAGTGTGTGCTGTATGTGTTGACATAGTGGTAATGAATGGCTGAGCACCAAGTCCCGGCTTTGGGCTTCCTGTGATTCAGCCCTAACCAGCTGGGGACAAGTGGCTCTGGAAGGGAGGGGTCCTGGACTGAGAATGAGTCTGAGGGTTTGAAGTGGCAACCACCCTCCATCACCATCCCAGATACACTTGCATTTACACAGATGAAACTTTGTAGAAAGCTGCCTCCGACATGGGGTGAAGTGAACACTGTTAAGTTTGGGGGTTGACTCTTGAGAGGCCATCTCATCTCTCCCAACTGCATCTGAGGGAGAAATGGAGATGCAGAGGGGCCAAGGCTTGCTCCAGGACATCTGTGAGTAGAGCTGGAGTCACAATTGGCTCCACTTTCAGGATGGACCCAAGTCCTCTTTGGGTGATCCATCTCCCACCCAACATAACGCCCGTGGGTCCCAGCTCCTTCCCTCTTACTGTGCTTCTCCAGTAATTATGCATGACTGGATGTGCCAACTGCAAGACAGGGTGGTGGATTGGAAGGCTCCTCACTAGACTCACAACCCAGGAACAGGATGGGGAAGCAAACCCTAGAAGAGTTTGTCTCCCAGAATTACACCACAGGGAAGCCCTTCAGGATGTTAAGTGTTAGGTTGGAGGGGGTTTGGGTGAGCATCCTGTTCCCTATTTTTCCCAGTCCATTGTACTACTTACTGAAAGTTTCTGGCATTGAGCAAGAAAACGGGAGGGTGACCACTCTAAAGTATCTCCTTTTGCCTTTTCCTAGTATATATGACCCCAGGTGGATAGCATCTTACACCCAGTATGTCAGAGACAGAAACAGGTCAATCAGCAGCCTTCTCCTTTGCTTCCAGGGAGCCTTGCCTTCTGTCTCCTGTTGAGCCTGGCTGCTTAGGCAGGGGGCAGGGGAGGAAGTGGAGGACATTTGAAGATCTCACCCAGTCCTAGGTAGAGTGGGAGGATATCTTGGGAGGAAGAAACAGGAAGCACTACGGATTGACTCGTCATTTGTTTCCTTGTTTGTTTGTTTGTTTTTGAGACAGTGTTTCTCTGTGTGGCTCTGGCTGCCCAGAACTCATCTGTAGATCCCTCAGAAGAATCCCTAGGAGTAAATGTGTGCCCCATCAGGTGTGTGGTTTAACCCAGGGCTTTTGAATGTTAGGCAAGTGCTCTACTCAGAGATACATTCCAGCCCTTCTTTCATCTATTATTAGTGTGTTTGAGATTGTCAGCACTTGAGGAAGTCAGAGGACAGCTTGCCCTGCCATGGCTGCTGGCTGTAGAGCCCATGGCACAGCAAGCATTTTATGCCCTTGGCTCACCTTGAACTTTCTCTGTCATCTCAATAGGCCTTGAATTTTCGATCTTTCTGCCTCAGCCTCCCAAGAACCTGAGATTACAAACCTGTACAAACCATGCCTATAGTTAAATTTTGGGAGGCTAAGTATAGGGAGAGTAATGTTATCAGAAGAGGAGGCGCTGTGGTCAGAGGGTAGAAGGGTGGTCCAGAGCAGCCTGGCTTAACTGTGCCACATACTCAACTTTGTTCTTTCTTTTTTAAAGATGTATTTATTTATTTCATGTGCATGGGTGTTCTATCTGTACACCTGCATGCCAGAAGAGGGCATCAGATCACCATGTGGTTGCTGGGAATTGAACTCAGGTCCTCTGGAAGAGGAACCAGTGCTCTTAACCACTGAGCCGTCTCTCTAGGCCTTCCACTTTCTTTCTTTCTTTCTTTCTTTCTTTCTTTCTTTCTTTCTTTCTTTCTTTTTTTTTTTTTTGAGACAGGCTCTTACTGTGTAGCCCAGGCTGGCCTCTCAAGAGTCCCTGGTGGTAGGATTATAGGCATGAGCCACCATACCTGGCTTAACACCTCTTTATTGATACAGGGCTGTATGTGAAGTACACAGAGCAACAAATAAAACAGAAGCAGTTCCTCCCCACATGCAGCAGCCACAGCAGCAGGGGGCACAGGTATTAGACACATAGGAAACTGATAAGCACCATAGCTTAAAGCCTAGGGCTTAGCCAGTTTTCTGTGCTGAAGGAACCTTTGCTGTCGAGCCCAGGAAGAGAAGCCAGCATGGAAGAACCAGGCCACAGCCTTGGAAGCAGCCAAGGTGGCAGCCAAGGGCCTGACAGGGCTTTGGAGATAGGCGATCAGAAGTAGGAGACAGTGGAGGTGTGTGACCTGGATCCTGAAAGTTCCAGATCAAGAGACTGGACTTTGGTCAGAAGAGTTAAGCTGGTGGAGCCAGCTCACTGAGGGTTGTGTTTGGACAGTGGAGACGGAAGGAGTACCACTTTGCCATCTGTTTGGGAAATGGAGCAGTCAGAATCCACCCAAGAATTGAGCAAGTGAAGAGGAGAGGATGATGGTAACAGCTAACTCCTGGTCTAACAGCTAACTGGACGCCTCTAAGTTGTTTGTGTGTGTTGCTGTGGATGTGGAAAGGGAAAGCAGGTGCTTTAAGAAAGAAGAGGCTAGAGAGGGAGAGGAGCCTAGAAAAACAAAGAGGGGCTAGGTAACAAATATAGCTTCCCTATTATCCAAAGGCCCGTGGGGGAGGATGGGCAAGTGTTGCTCTAGGCTGTTCTTTTGACTTTTGAAGTAACTAACACCCAGAGCAAGGTGAATGCATCCCAGCTGATAACCCTCATTCTTTCACACTGAGTAATTGGTAAATGAACACAAACCACGTTTAGTGCTTAAGCCTTTCCAGGGCTTCCCAGTTCATCCCTTCAGCTCTGACTACCCCCCAACCCCCCGCAAGGCTCGGGACACCCCATCCACCCATATGCGCCTACCCCATTGTGTTTCTGCCCCTCCTTTTTTTTCTTTTTTTTTTCTTTTTTTTTTTTTTTTTTTGGTTTTTTGAGACAGGTTTTCTCTGTGTAGCCCTGGCTGTCCTGGAACTCACTCTGTAGACCAGGCTGGCCTCGAACTCAGAAATCCACCTGCCTCTGTCTCTCAAGTGATGGGATTAAAGGCGTGCGCCACGACCGCCCGACCCTGCCCCTCCTTCTGACCCGTCCATCCTTCTACCCTTTTCTGTCCCAGAACCTTCTGATCTTTCCGTGTATTTATGAATGTCAGTGAAGGATTCTGAAACCAGAATGAACAGCCCCTTCTCATCACTCTTGAAGCAAGTTACATTAATTTTTTGAGGGGAACTGGTGGTGGCTGCCATGACAGAATCCCCAGCCCAGATTGAGCGGGGACTATCTTGCTTTGACCCTGAAACCCCACACATTGAAGTTAGCGACCCGGGAGGGTCTATTCTTCCCACGTTCGGACTCTAGTCCAGAGCTCGATCCTTGGTGCAGGCACCTTTCTCCTCCACCTAATGTGCCCTTCACCACGTGTGCCCAGCGGAGCCTAGTGGAGCCTGCAGAACTCTGCAAGGTGTGCAGGGCTCGGGTTCGGGTGGGAAAGCCAAACCTGATGAAGGACGCAGGAGCGCGCCCTCCGAAGTCAGGTGGTCCAGGCCACACCCAAGGAAACGACTAAATCACGTGACACCGAGCCTAGGAACGTTTTTCTCACGTGACGGAGAAACCCCGGGTGGACCAATAAGGAAGCGGAGGCCAGGCTGGCGGCGAGGAGGGGACGGTGCGCGGGAAGAGAACTTTAGAGATTCCTAGTAGCTGCTGGGACTCATTGTGGGTCCTATCCCGTCCCGGTCTGGTTGCAAAACAAGCTGGACTTTAGTGTTTTTGTACCATGAAGTGCCTGATCACCGGGGGCAACGTGAAGGGTAAGTTTGGACCTGCGTTGTAGCAGATCATGTGAGCAAGCCCCAGGAATCCCCCTAAACACTTTCTGCTCTCCTCCCCGCAGTGCTAGGCAAGGCTGTCCATTCGTTATCCCGAATCGGGGACGAGCTCTATTTGGAACCCTTGAAGGACGGGGTAAGAGACTGGGACGCAGGGTTGGGAGCGGATTCAGTGGTGAGTGGGGAGCCTAGGCTTGGAGTTCACTCAGCCTTACAGGGTGATGGTGGGCAGGTATTTCGGCGCAGTTTATTTATCTCTTCGGTTGTTGGGACATCAGCTTAAGCTCTGTCTTCTGAGGCTGCATGTGTATACAGAGGGTACTTGCTTTTCCTAGAGCGCCTAGTGGCAGGCAGTGTGGGGCTAAAGTAACTTAAGGGAAAAGCAAGCATGGCAGACCCTGGGCCCCGGAAGACTGAGAGGTCTACATGCAGAAGGTCTTGCTACACAGAAGGCGGAGGGTAGTTTCAGTAGTAAGCAATGGAAGGGAACTGCTACAGGATGAAAAAGCAGGCCACCGGGTTGGGCATGCCATTGCCCCTAACTGTCTTCCCTGCTTTTTGTGTCTCAGCTCTCCCTACGGACTGTGAACTCTTCCCGTTCTGCCTATGCTTGCTTCCTCTTTGCCCCACTCTTCTTCCAACAGTACCAGGCGGCTTCCCCTGGTCAGGACCTGCTGCGCTGTAAGATCCTAATGAAGGTAAGGACCGCTTGAAGCATCTCCACAGCTGTGCCTCTGTGCCAGGTACTCCGTAAATGATGACTAGGGAGTTAGTCTCACATGGGAGCTGTTCCATGCAAATGCAGTGAGATAAAGATGTTTAGACTCTAGGGGGTTATAAGAGCTGTGTGGAGAGGGGGTGACATTTGAGTTGGTCAAGAAAAGATTAGGAGCCTTTCCCAATAAAGGGAACAGCATGGACAAGGCCTGACAGTGTGCAGACATCCTGCATGCAGTGGGAACCCCTTTCACAGCTTTGTGGGCCCCGGCCAGTGATGGACCAGGGCCTACATGGGATGTAGAGCTGGTCCATGGAAGCAGAGTGCCAGGCTGATGTCCTACCCTGCCCAGTCCTTCCTGTCCGTCTTCCGCTCTCTGGTAACGGTGGAGAAGACTGTGGAGAAGTGCTGCATCTCCCTCAGTGGCAGCAACAGCCACCTTGTGGTCCAGCTCCACTGCAAGTATGGTAAGCAAGACCTGGCCCACCAAGAGTCACTCTGTGGGTTTGGGGGAGTGGAAGTGAAGGTTGTCAAGCCCACTGAGACCATTCCCCCTCATCCAGGGGTCAAGAAGACACACAACCTCTCCTTCCAGGATTGTGAATCCCTGCAGGCTGTCTTCGACCCAGCCTCATGCCCCCACTTGCTCCGCACCCCAGCACGGTAAGCACACTTGCTTCAAACTTCACCTGAGTCTCTCCCTCCTTTGGGGCTTTAATGTCATTCTAGGAACGGTCCATTTTCAGTGGGCCTGGCTAGCCTATGCCTGTCATCCTAGCAGTTCTTAGATGAAGATGGAAGGATCAGGAGTTCCAAGGCCAGTGAGTACGTTTCTAGGCTAGTCTAGGTAATATGAGACACCATCTCAAAAAAGGTTGCCTGTGCTGGGGAGATAACTCAGTGAAAGTGTGTCTGATATGCAATCGTGCAGGCCTGCTTTAAGTCCAAGGGAATATATAAAAACATGGAGTGTCAGTCCAGTGTTGGTGTTCGCACACGCCTTTAATTCCAGCACTTAGAGGCAGACAGGCAGATCTCTGTGAGGCCAGCCTGGTCTACAGAGCAAGTTCCAGGACAGGCAAGGCTACTACAGAGAGAAACTGTCTTTTTTTGTTTTGTTTAAAAAAAAAAAAAAAAGGAACACAACCAAACACCAAGATGGACAGCACCTGAGAAGCAGCAGCACCATCATGCAGGCTTACAGGCATGCACGCTTATACAGAACACAAAAGCATTTTTGTCTTTGAGGGTTTCTGTGTCAAAGGCCACACAGCCCAGTGCCTAATTGAACCCTTACCTTGTTCTTCAAAAGCAGAGGCTACTGCCTCTCCCCATTTCCACAGACTGTGAGGTCCTGCCTTCTGTATCCCCGAGGCCTGCTCTGACTGCCTTTCTAGAGAGAACCTATGACCTGCCTGCAGATCTCTTGTATGACCTGAATAACCCTGAAGGCCTGTCCTTGACCCTGTGTTTCAAAGTCCTCTGACCTCATTCTTCTGGTACTGTCCTCCTTATAGTGGCTTCTTCCTAACTGCCAGGGCTCTAGACTCTGGGCCAAAGGAAGATCCTGGGGGAGGAAGCTGCAGTTTAGGAGGGCTGCTGTACAACCCACCAGTCAGCATCAAGACACAGCACGGCAAGGAGACTGTGCTTCCAGCAGAGAATAAGGTCACTAAAGATAAGCCCAGAATTCAGTGGCCTCTCCCTTGCCTGTGCTAGACACTGTTAGCATCCAAGTAGCCCAAAGTCCCATTCATTTCTCAGACTGAAAGTCCCTTCAGGTCTCAATGTCAGCTTCCCCAGGGTCTGTTAATAGTGGTGATAAGAGTTCCTTTTTGGAGGGGCCATTGCTTTTCTTTTTTCTTTTCCCCTAAATACTGGCAATAGAATCCAGGACCTTGTATTTGCTAGGTATTCTGTACCACTGAGCTAAAGTCCCAGCCCTAACTGCTTTTCTTTCTCACGTACAGTGTCAAATATAGAAGTCAGTACGATGGCTCAGCGATTGAGACTTTTGCTTTAAGCCTGACCAGTTCAGTTGTCAGGTTTTAAATCCCCACAACCTAAACGGGGGAAGAATAGACCCCTGTGGGCTGTTCTCCAGTCTCCACATGGACACCAGGGCATCAGAACCGCGCTTTTTTCCACAGCACACACACCCACACAAAATAATTTTTAAAAATTTAAATATGCCAGCTGGCGCCCCCCCCACCCTCCACCCCATCCATGCTAGGGACAGAACCCAAACACCGAAGTCTCGAGGCAAATCTAGGAGTTATTTTTCTGTAAATGTTCAGCAGTATATATCCTTAGAGGGTGGGAGCCAAGGCCTGGCTTGGTGTCCCACACCTTTAATCCCAGATCTTAGGAAGAAGAGGTAGGCAGATCTCTGTGAGTTCAAGGCCAACCCAAGCTGTATAGTAAGACTCTATCTCAAAAAAGAAAAACACAGCCGGGCAGTGGTGGCGCATGCCTTTAATCCCAGCACTTGAGAGGCAGAGGCAGGTGGATTTCTGAGTTCAAGGCTAGCCTGGTCTACAGAGTGAGTTCCAGGACAGCCAGGGCTACACAGAGAAACCCTGTCTCGAAAAAACAAAAACAAACAAACAAAAAAAAACCAACAACAACAACAAAAAAACCCCAGAAACCCATCAACCCGACCCGTTCCTATTCTGTGTGGGTGTAGTGTGTTGCTGTTTTACACAGGGTGGTGTTGAGCCCCTGGGCTCAGTAGCTGGCTTGGGCATAGTAGTGCACACCTATGATGCCAGCTCTTTAAGAGGTAGAGTTGGGCTACAGAGATGGCTCAGGAGTTAGAGCACTTGACTGCTCTTCCAGAGGTTCTGAGTTCAATTCCCAGCAACCACATGGTGGCTCACAACCATCTGTAATGGGATCTGATGCCCTCTTCTGGTGTGTCAGAAGACAGTTATGGTATATTCATATAAGTAAAATAAATAAATTAAAAAAAAAAAAACCCTAAGTTTGAGGTCAACAGTGCTACAAATAAAGAACCTGTTTTAAAACAACCCCCACCCCAAAACGTAGCTGGGACTAACAGCGATGACCTATACCCAGCCTTCCTTTCCCCCAGTGCTGTACTCAAGTGTTTCCTGTGTCCCTACACCATGGCTGCCTGCTCCCCTCTGCTGTGTCTAGGCTTTGGTTTTATTTAGTCTGTGCTTCCACTGCCTTAGGAGCTTCTGACCAGGCAAGTGACATATGAGAGTAGACAGCACATTTCATGCGAATCTGTTGTTTGGACTTGTCACAGGGTTCTGGCAGAGGCTGTTCTGTCCTTTCCCCTCGCGTTGACTGAGGTGACACTGGGTATCGGCCGTGGCCGACGGGTCCTCCTGCGCAGCTACCAGGAAGAGGAGGCAGGTGAGGGCATTAGACCTGTCCCAGGAAGGAATGGGAGCCAGGAGTGAAGCCAGCACTCAAGGACTTTAACTCCTCTTGTGTGCCACATAGATAGCAGCAGCAAAGCCATGGTGACTGAGACTAGCATTGGAGAAGAGGACTTCCAGCAGCTGCATGCCCCAGAGGGGATAGCTGTCACCTTTTGCCTCAAGGAATTTCGGGTGAGTTTACTGTGGTTGTTACCTGGTCTGTCAACCAAACACAGGCTCTCACTACCTGCTTCTGTCATCCCAGGGGCTCCTGAGCTTTGCAGAGTCAGCGAATTTGCCTCTTACCATCCACTTTGATGTTCCAGGCAGGTAATTCCAGGCTTTTAGACTGGGAAGGAGGTAGGGCTCTGGGATACCCAGAGCAGGATAACCTAGCTTAACCTCTGTCACCCAGGCCAGTCATCTTTACCATTGAGGATTCTTTGCTGGATGCCCACTTTGTCTTGGCCACACTCTTAGAGCAAGACTCATGTTCGCAGGACCTGTGTTCCCCAAAGCCCCACCAGCCAGTGCCTCAGAAGCAGGCAAACAGGTAAGGGTGATCACTACCTAGCTCTCCCTCCACTTTGCACTCAGGTTGCGTCTGCTACTTGTAGCTTCTGCACCTCCCCCATACATCCTTCCTGTCAGGCCCAACCTCACAGGGCTTCCAGCCTTAATGGTCAGCTGTGCTGAGGCCCCTCCCATCCATAGAGGCATCCCCCAAGGTCTTGCTGGCTTCCTTCTCTGGCTGAGGCCTCCCCTCTGAGCCTCTTTCCAGACAAGGAGAGAAAGGGCTGCTTGGAGGCAGGGAGCTGCCTGGTGTAGGGGAAGCAGGTGGCTGAAAGGGCAGGTGGGTTGGGAGGCTGGGCTCAGTATAGTAGAAGCAGAGGAAGTTTGGTCTGGCTCTCGGCCCAGCATATCCCTGGGCTCCTGTGCTCTCCAGCTCCTATCCCCTGGGAAGGTGAGGGATTGGGCCCCACGTGGCCCCGTTCACAGGACTTGTTGCTTTCCTCCCCCAGCTGAGCTAAATTGGCCCCAAGATCCTCCCTCAGGCCCCTACCTGAACTCTGATCAAAGGGGTTCCAGTTCCACCCCCTCCAGGAAGCTCCCACTTAACCCCTGCATCCTATCCTCCCAGCCAAATCAGGAAGTAATAAAATGGAAATCTCACCAAGCAGTCTTGAGGCCTCCAAAGTGGGGCCTGCCTCTGTATCCCTTTTTTTCTCTACCTTGTTATCTCTGCCTACAGCACACCCCACTTAGATGACTTTACCAATGATGACATTGACTGTTACATGATTGCCATGGAAACCACCGTGAGCAATGAGGGCTCTGGGGCACAGCCTTCCCCTTCCCTCCCACCAGTCCCCCAGGCCTCCCATGACCTTGCCCCCACCTCAGAGGAAGAAGAGGCTGAGTCCAGTACAGTGCCTGGGACCCCCCCACCCAAGAAGGTATAAAAGCTGGAGGTTGGGATGGGAACTGAGGGAAGGAAGCAGCTTCCAGAACTAACTGGGCGTTCTCTCTTCCAGTTCCGTTCACTTTTCTTTGGCTCCATCCTGGCCCCTGCACACTCCCCCCAGGGTCCTAGCCCTGTGCTGGCTGAAGACAGTGATGGCGAAGGCTGAACTTGAGAAACTAAAGTCTGTCCAAAGGCTCATGGACCAGAAGCAGGCCAAGCCACTGGCAGAGCTGGGCATCAGTCTCTGGACATGGACATGGAAAAAGGTCTATGCCTTGGGTAGGCCCCACTTGACTGTCCGCTGCAGAGCTGCCTAGGCAACCATGTTTGGTCCGTGTTCTATATTTACTCAGCCTGTACCAACCATGTCTCTTTCTGGTGCACAGCTGTCACCTACAGATTCTTCACCTCTTACTTTGAGGCTCTATAGTATCTGGCCAGAGCCAGAAACTTAGCTTCCTCAGGCTCCCTTATGTCTAAAGCCTCTAAAAAGAGATCAGTGTTGAACACACTCTGCCAATCATGAGCTCCACTCCCGTCAACCCTTCTGTGGTCCGTAGGAACTGTTCCCTTTCCTAACACTTGGGCCTTGGCTTAGAATCCTAACAGCGTCTGGTGTTGCCCTGGCTGGGCCTGTGTCCAGCCATTCAGTCTGCCCTCCCAGGTGGCTTTGTACCAAAGGACTACTGGCCCACTGTCTGGGATGAGGGAAACACAGGCCATGGCGAGAATCCAGCTTTGACCTTTATTCAAGAGACCAGATGGGTTGCCCCAGGATCTGGCTGCCAGCCATGCAAGGCTGGAGACCCACAATCTGGTCTGCCATTGCCCTGAGCTGCAGCCTGGGCCCCAGGATTCCACTTGCAGCCACCACAGGTGCTGGTGGGAGGGAGCCCTGGGAGGTTAGATGCTGCTATTGATTCTTTAAAAAATAAAGGAAAGACACTTAACGCTGTGTGTTCCACATGACAACAGGTGGGCCTGAGGGGCCAGTGTGACCCATGGCAGCATGATTTCTATACAAATAATCCGTCATCTGGGGCAGAAGGGCAGCAGCGCATGGAGGCTATTTCTTGGCTTTGGCAGAATTGCGGGGTGGAGTGATGGGACGGCCTCCAGGGTTCAGGCCACTGAACTGCCCATACTTCCCCTTGTTCTTATCAGCGGGCTTGAGGATCTGAAAGAGAAAACATTCATCAGGGTCCTGGTGCTGAGCCAGGCATCTGGCAGCCTCTTCCCTCCCCACACCCACCTGGAAGGAGCACATGAGGGTCTCATCCACACTCATCATGGCACCAGCATTGTCAAACTCTCCACAGTAGTTGGGAGCTGAGAAGAGGGTCACCAGCTGCCTTTTGGCAAAGAACTCATAGCCATCTTCTACAACCTGGGCGAGAACAGGAACGGTTTGATCTGTACGTTAAGCAGCTGGCTGTCCTCCCAGCCTGTCCCCCAGCCACTAGCCCACCTGATGTGCTCTGCAGATGAGGTCCAAATCATGCTTGTGCAGGAACTTGGCCACCACCTCAGCCCCAAAGGTAAAGGAGACACCACGGTCATTCTCGCCCCAGCCTTGAACATCTTTGTCGGGGTCAGACCACAGGAGGTCACACAGTAGGCCCTGGTCAGGCACATCTGTGGGCCGCATAATCCGTCTAATCTGCTCCATGGACTGCAAGTCTGGAGACAGGCCTGGGGTGGAGTGGGAACAGTGTTCCTTAAACCAGAAAGTAAGTGCTGTCCCATGCCCAGAAGCCCTCGGGGTCAGCTCCACCTTCCCCACCATGGCTAGGTTCATCTCTTAAGATCAGGGAGATCGAATCCACTAATCCCCCGCTGGCTGCATTTCTCTGTGTGGCCTTGGCTGTCCTGGAACTCACTTCATATGACACTACCTCCTGGCCATCCCTCAGGTTTTAAAAGTGCAGACAACAGACTGACCGCCATGGGGGGAAGGAGATGAATGAGTTGCCTACAGGATACCAAATGCCACAACAGGAAAGAGTGCAGCCAAACTGGGGTGTGGAGCCAGATGTGATGTCACAGGCCTTTAATGCCATCACTTGGGAGGGAGAGATAGGCAGAACTCTGACGCCAGCCTGGTCTACAAAGTGAGTTCCTGGACAGTCAGGGCTGTTACACAGAGAAAGCCCATCTCAGAAACTGAGGTGTAAGTGATCTCCTATAATACGTGACACCCACGATGAGATTCTGTTAACTTCCCAAGGCCCCTAAGGATGTGGCCCAAAAACCCAAGCACAGACCCCACGCCCACTCGGACCTCCGTGGCAGCAGAAGATCTTCTCATCTACAATGGCTGCAATGGGCAGGCAGTTGAAGCAGTCGGTGAAAGTCTTCCACAGTTTGATGTTGTATCGCCTCTTGCCTGCACAGAAGGAGATGGCTCATAGGGAAGACCGCCCACCACACAAACCCCAGTCTAGCTTTCTGTGTAACCCTCCAGGGTACTTTGTGGGTTACTCTGACAAAGCTGGGAGAAAAGACTGGAAGGCAAGGAAAGCTTAATTCTCCCTGCTCTAACCGTATCTACCGTCCAGAACTCTAACACCTGCGTCCACAAGAACCTGAACTCAATCTGGCCCAATCTCGATGTCCGTACCTACGCTGGTCCCATGAATAAGGCCAAACCAAAAATGGGTCTGGTTTATTCGCACAGGCATCCTAAATGCTTAGTAAGGGATGTAACAGGGGAGTGTCATCAGGCAGCCCTGCATCTGCATCCAGTCACCAGGCCCTTCCTGAGTGCCATGGATGGCAGACGGCATGTTGTTGGGGCTTTACAGAGCTCATCAACAGGGGTCTTTTGGCACTAGGCCAATGGGGGTGGGGGGTACATGAAGAGCAGGGAATGCAGTTCTGGGCAACCAGTAACATTCAAAGCACTCACATTCATCATAGAAGCCATAGATGCGGTTGATGCTGGCACACTCATGGTTCCCACGAAGTAGAAAGAAATTCTCCGGGTATTTGATCTTATAGGCCAGCAACAGGCAGATGGTCTCCAAAGACTGCTTGCCCCGATCCACATAGTCCCCCAAGAAGAGGTAGTTGCTCTCTGGAGGGAAGCCACCATACTCAAACAGCCGTAGAAGGTCATAGTACTGGCCATGGATGTCACCTGGGAACCAGAGAAGGCTAGGTAGGTGCAAGAGGTAAACTTGAACCCAGGGCCAGCATTGGACCAAAGAGGCGAAACACGGGTAATGGGGCAAGAGTAGGGGCTATTTTCAGGAAGCGAAGGGGTTCTGAGCAAGCGCTTACCACAGATCTTGAGAGGCGCCTCAAGCTCCAGAAGAATAGGCTGGCTCAGGAAAATCTCCCGGGATTTGAGACACAGACCACGGATCTCGTTCTCTGTCAGCTGCACATTCTTTCCAGGCCGTGAGCCCTGCACTGGGTACGGAATAGGGTCTTGGGACCCTGGCCTCGCAGACCCGATAAGGGTAGGTGTCATGCCCCCCTAACAGGGGCAACTGTTGCAAGTGAGCCCCCCCGTAACCTTTGCATCAGGCCTTCAAAGGCAAAATCCGACCCCTTAGCCACCCGGAGGGCCTCTAAAGAGACGCCTGTGCTCAGCAGCCTGTCAACCGAAGCTTCCTCGCTTCGGAACCCCGTCTCCCAGCTAGCTTGCAGGAGTCTAAACCTGAGTCCGGGCCACTCACGCGTCCCCGGCCTCGGAGTGCGCTCTAAAGCCGAGGCGCAGGGAGTGGGGGGCCTGCGGTGTCCATGGGTCCTCAAGGCCTGTCCCCGCCCAAGCGTCGCTGGCCCCCGGGAGCGGCGGGCCCGCCCGCGCGCCACTTCCGGACGGCGAGGGGCCTGGGCTCGGCGCGCGCGCACCTTCCATACCCCTGCCCACCTTCCAGCAGGCGCCCGATGATGGAGTCCAGGTTGAGCTTCTCGCTGTCGGACATGGCGGCGCCGCCACTCCGGCCCACCAGCTCTGGGCCCTCTCCTGCCTCCCGCCCTCTTGCAGCCTCCTTCCGGCCTGGCTCTCCTTCCGCCCTCACCAGCCCGCCCCCAGCCCGCCGCCCCGCCTCTTCGGTCGGCCGCCCCGCCCTGCCGCGTCCATAGTTCCCTGCTCTCTAGCGCCTCCCCTGGACGGGAAGCACCGCAGCCGGGGAGGGCCTCGGGCGACCGGGCGGGGCCTGGCAGGAGTGGTGGGCGGGGTTTAGCTGGGCGGGGTTGGTTCAGCTCCACCCTGGAGGAATCGCTCTGCTGCGTTCAGATGAGTTAGGACCGGAAGTACTGTAGAAATTGTTTTTCTCTTTCCAAGTCTCTTCCCACCCCAGCCCTGCGTGGGATTGTGGTGTGAGCATGTTTATCGCTGACTTCTCAAACACTAAAGTAATTCCTCGAAGTGCAGAAAAAGAAACTAAGGCTTAATGATACTGAGAGAGGCTCTAGACCTCCAGAACCTCACGTTCACCTCGGTCGGTCGTTATGGCCAGACCCATGAACACCTGCTACTGAACTCGAAGCAATGTTTTGGTCTAGGTTGCCTTGGTGCCTGCTACATCAATTTTTTCCCATAAGTGATGTAATACTATTGTACCTCGTTCATGTTGTAAGTCATTTGAGGAGTACTTGGACTTGTCTAGCATGTGCAAGGCCTGAGGTTCCATCTCCGGCTCTGGAAGGAAAATAAAGAAAAGGGGGGAGAGCTATTATTTTTAAACAGTAAAACATTAAAGTATGGTATCATAAACTTGTAATTCCAGTGCTTGAAATTCCAGCACTCAGGAGTCTGGACACACGAGGATTAGAAGTTCAGCATCATGTTCAACTACATAGTGAGTTCTTCGGCCTGGGCTACATGAGATCCTTGTTCTCAGACTGTACCCCTTCGCTCTCAAAAAAGAAAACCCGGAGTAGGGGGTTGGAGGGGTGGGACAACATTAAAGCATAATTATTATCGTAACTGTGAATTGGTTTTGCTTGCAAGTAACCTCAAAACTGATAGTGGCCTGTCATCTTCAATTCGGGCAAACCCAGCACCCTGAGGATGGGAGGAGTTCGTGGCTCGGGCACTAGGGCAAGCAGGAAGAACCTCATAGAGGAAGGGGGGAGTCCCCCCACCAGGGAGGGGCCCCCAACAGGCTGCTGAAGCTGAGACTGAGGAGGAAGTGAGAGGAGGAGGTGAGGTGCAGCAAAGAGGTGAGCTGGGCTGCTGGGACCAGGGACCAGGCCTGAGGCTGGGTCTCTGTGGGACCTCAGTGTCTACCTAACTCCCCAGTAAAAGAGGAGGTTTAGTCCTCTGTGACTAAGGACTGGTGACTGGAACCCCCAGCCTCAGTCTGGCTGCTCACACTGGCTCTCTGTATGCCTTTCAGCCTGTGACACTGGGGTCTAGGGCAGAATGGCCCAGGCCCTGGGAGAGGACTTATTGCTACCATCAGAACTACAGGATGATTCTAGCTCTCTAGGGTCCTGGGACTCAGAGCTGAGTGGGCCCAGTCCATATCGTCAGGCTGACCGTTATGGCTTCATTGGGGGTAACTCAGCTGAACTGGGGTAAGTGAGGGTAGGGGAGGTAGAAGGGTACAAAGACTGAGGACTGAGTTCTGAATTAGTCTGGCCTCAAGGGTCTTCCTGTAGACACTAGCCCAGAACTCAGCCAGTGTCATTCCTCAGGTTCCGTGTGGGATTTTAAGGTGAGAAGGGTGGTGGAGGGACCATCCCTTACGTCTTTTATCCACTGAGGGTCTACACCTTCTCTTAAAACTGGTCATCTTTTCCCTTTTAATCTCTAACCCGAGAACCCCAGATGGAAATTCGTATGTCTTTCATTCTCTTCTCCAGGTTTACCTTACACAGTTAATCAGATCCAGACAGAAACTTGACACATCACACAGCAGATCAGAAACAGAAGCAGATTCAAACTCAGGACTTCTGGCTTCCAGTCCAGGGCACTATCCACCCAGCTTCTCCTATGAGTTATCTGTCTCTGTTTTAGGGGACAACCAAACAGACCTTCCCTAAATATACACCCCTCATCCCGTTAGTCTCAGCAGCTTCTATCCATCTTGAAGCCCAAATCCCTTCCTTTAACTTTGATCCTGTGTCTGTTGTGTGCCTCCAGGCTTGGTCAACCCCCAGCAGACCTCATCCGCCAGCGGGAGATGAAATGGGTGGAAATGACCTTACACTGGGAGAAGACCATGTCTCGACGATACAAGAAGGTAGGGAAGGAAAACTCTACGTACACTGGTTCCCAAAGCTCTGAATCCCTCGTCTCCTACTACCCAAGTGGACTCTTGACCAATGAGGAGCTGTGCTCAGAGCTGAGCAGTGTGGTGCACGCCTTTAATCTCAGCACTTGGGAGGCAGAGGCAGGCAGAGCTCTATGAGTTCAAGGCCAGCCTAGTCTACAGAGTGAATTCCAGGACAGTCAGGACGACACAAAGAAACCCTGTTTCAAAAAAAAAAAAAAA